CAAGCAAGTGGATGTCTTCTGTGGCGGTGCCACCGGCTGGCTGCCTAGGGCACAGTTTTGTTTGCTCAGTGAACCAACCCCAGGCAGAGGGTGGAAGGTGGGGACTGAGGGTCAGCTGTAGGAATGTGACATCAGGATGATATGCCCCCCAAAAGAACTGCACCAGCCCCTACTTAAAGAGGGGTTAAAAAGGAGAGCTCCTCCCAGAGCATCCCCCACCCCACCCGAGGTACACCTCTGCTTCCTGCTTTTGATGCAAATCCCGGGAATCACTTCCTCTGCTCTATAGTGTGAACCAACCTTAGATACATTTCTTCTCCAAATCTGAGAACAGGGATACAGATCATGGGAGACATCTAACCCTCTTAGCCATCACTAGGATGTATTTTTCTGAAGTAGCCAACTTAGAAAAGACTATACCAGTGGCCAGGGCTGTGCCTTTTGGGCTGGGCCTGTTCCCAGAGCCACTGATTGTTATATTTGAACCTCCAATACTCATCAATGCCTTGGGTCCCTCACAGAACCAATAAAGGGATTTTCCCAAACACTCAAGGAAAGAAAGACCAGGAAAGGGTTTTGATAACAGCTGAAATTATTATCCACTGAAGACTGGAATTTGAATTATTTTCTATGTATCTGGAAGTTGCCTTATAAGACGTTGCTTAATGTTTGACTTTTATTACTATTTCAAAAGCGAAAGAGGTTTATAACCACTTGTTTGTCATAACTTTCATAAAAAATAGTGCTAATATGAGGCAATTTGTGATCAATTTCCTAGTCTCTTTTGGTATGAAAGTCAAAGAATATCATAAGGTAAAAAAATAAACAACCCCCCATAACTCCAGGGAGCTACTTAATTTCAGGCATCTAGTTGAGCAGGGTGGTTCCACCCCCTCCACACTGAGGGGTAAACACATATTGGGGGCAGAGCCCAGCTCTCTAAAGCGAAGGCCCCTGGTGGCCTCTAGACCCCTGCAGCCCATCAGTAGCCACTAGCCCTGTGTGTCTGTTGAGCACCGAAAATGGCCAGTGCCACTAGATGTTGAAGTAAAAGCTTCATCTCAGACACAGCACCAAAAAATAATTTAAAAAATTACAAAAGCATTAAATCCCCCAGCAATTCTAAACATTGACTACACACTGAAATTATATTTCGGACATGTTGCATTACGTATATTATTTAACAGGAATTCCACTTGCTTTTCTTCACTCTAATGCGGCCGCTAGCACATTTCAAATGGCACCCTGCGACTGGACAGCGCAGGCCGGGACCCCGCTGGGCAAGGGCGATGGCTGTCGCAAGAGCGCGTGGGTGGCGCGGGCAGCCGAGGGGTGGTGGCCCTCCACCCCGCCCCGGGCGGTGTTGCTTTGGCCAGGTCCCTTCCGCCCCCAGGGCTAGGGTCCCTCTAACGTGTCGCCTGTCCCCGCAGCGCCCGCCGCCACCGCCGTGCGCAGGTTCGGCGAGGACACCGCGCCGCCGCCGCCGAGCTTCCCGAGCTGCGGCCACTACCGCGAGGAGCCCGCGCTGGGTCCTGTCAAGGCCGCCCGCCAGGCCGCCCGGGACGGGGCGCGGCTGGCGCTGGCCCGCGCGGCGCCAGAGTGCTGCGCTCCGG